TTCCTCTGCTTTCCCCCTGGCTCGCTGCAAGGCCGGGTGGGAAGCAAGCCAAGCTGTCCTGGCAGGAGAACACCTCAGTCCACTTTCAAAAAAAAACAAAACTCTCCAGACAGCCTGCCTCTCAGTCCAGCCCAGTCCCCAGCGAGACCAGTGAGGCCAATGCGTCTCTCAGTTCTCCCAGGCTTGCAACCACAGAGTCTGCAGTTGAACTGGGCCCTGTGTCTTTGTAACCCTCCCTGATAATGCAAGCCGGCAAGCAGACAGGTCTCCAACCGGTGTTGTCCAGTTTTGCTTATATGGGGAGCAGGGGAGCTGCTGGCCTGCGCTGGTATCCACTGGGGCTGCTGGGTGCCCAGGCTCCTGTGCCAGACACCTCTGGTGTTGGTCTCAGACTAATGGTTCTGGTCCCTGGCCATAGAGGCAGCACCCAGGCCACCTGGCCGGGGGCCTCAGCCCCCAACACTACTTTGTCTTTACTCCGGTCCCCAAGACCCCACTGACCTGCTGCTTTCTGGTGTTTCAGCGTCCGTCACAGTCTCTGTTCTTTTAATTTCACAAATGCTGGATAACTGATGGATTAGTGCGCTGCTTCTCTATAGATCTGCCAGGATTTTCACCCACGAGTACGGGAGCTAGAATCCGCTCCATCCTACTCCGTCGCCATCTTCCCAGCACTCTGTTTCAGAGCTTTCACATCTGTTACACAATTTTATCTTCATAACAAGTCTGTCACACAGTTGTTACTGTTTTCTTTGCTCTACAGATAAGGAAGTGAAGTTACAAGAAAGTTAATTTTATTGCATTTTTTGCCTGTTGCACTGCCTTTGCCAGGACCAGTTGTTAGTTAGCATGGCAGCTTTATGGGTATTGCCCTATTCCCAGGTCTCCCTCTTTCTTCCTTCCTTGTCCAGTGTCAAATGAAAAATGTTGCCAACTGAGACATCAGACTGGGCACAGAGAAAAGGTATCGAGTCTTTTTTTTTTTTGACAGAGAACCTTCACAATCTTTTATTTGAACCTCAAGACAACCCAACTAGTTAAATGAGGAGGAACAAGAATAACTTCTTCTTTTGGGGGTAGGGGGAGGTGTCATATTGTGCTATTTTTTAATTTAAATTATATTTTATTGTTTATGCTATTGAGTTGTCCCAATTTTGCTCCTTTGCCCTCATCCACTGAGATCCCCAGCTCCCTCAGGCAATCCCCACACCATTGTCCATTGTCCATGACCGTGCATATATATTCTTTGGCTACTATATTTCTTATGCTGTACTCTACATCCCCATGACCATTCTGTAACAACCAACTTGTATTTCTTAATCCCTTCAACTTTTTTGTCTATCCTCCTGACCTCTTCCCATCAACACCCAAGTCTCAGTTAAGCTAAAACTAGCAGTGATTCATACTCTTTAGCAGGGAGATAATTTTCCCAAGAATCTCAAATGGGGAGCTGGCACAATGGATAGAGCTAGTGAGTGCTCAAACCACATTTATTTTCCAGATCCTTGGTGGACACTTCTTTGTCAAGGGCCCCTTGGAGAAGGGCCTCCTCAAGGCTAGTAATAAAAAGCTTTGGGACCATCTTAACCAAGAATGGACCTAATGGCTGCAGTGGCTGGACTGTCCCTGAAGCTTTGGCTGTGATTTTCTACTCCCCAAATGCAGACTGAATGTTGACAAATAAGATGTTAACTTTGCCAGGGCCATAGTCACATACATGGAGAGTGACATCTTCCTCTAATACAGTGACTTTTAATAGACAAGCAACCGATCCTTTCCTCATGGTTTAAATAAATTTAATTGTGTTTTCTTCAAACCATACTTCATTGAAAAACTTCGATAAAGGCTACAAGGACACTTATTTTAGAATGTAACAATTTTTAAATAGAGCGACCCTATGAGTAGATCTTGGAAGCAGCTCCTGCAGATTTGGTAGATAGAAGTTGGAAGTCACTTCTTTACGTGTTTAATGGAAGGAATATCAAAGGCTGGGAGACTAAAATTCACATTTGTTTCCCTTGGAAAAGATAAGGACAGCAAGACCAGTGTGGTGTGGTCAGGGGTGGGAGGCAAGAGCAGGTGTCACATTCTTACTGAGGGCCGGAACCCGAAGAGTCTTGCAGGCATGAATTCATTGGCAGGTCTACTATTCCCTGCATGACCTTGTGTGAGGTATTTAATTGCTAGAAGCCTTAGTTTATCTTCATTTGATCATTTAGTAACTACTGAAAGGACTGTATTACAACTTGAACATTCAACCACGACCAATGAGAAGCTTTGCCACTGTCCCCATTGTAGCTTGACAAACACTCTCTTTGACCAAATTTTAGTTATATTTCTCTGAGTCCTCTTCTTATTAGGTCTTTACCTTTCCCCAAGCTTCTCCCCACACCTTATGTCTTCGGCCTGTCTCTAGGTCTCTCTTAGCATGGAATCCTGCTAAGTAATCCCCCTACCACTGACTTTTGATCACCCTTGACATTTGGTCAGGTTCTTCATCCTCCACCTGTAATGTATAAACCCTTGGCCTGCCTTTCGCAAAAATTCTGTCCATCTAGTTTAGCAAGAATCTTCCACCTCTGGTGTCTGCTCTTAGTAATTTTTGACCTACTGGCTTCCTCATCCTGCTCCTTGGAAATAAATCCCCATTTGTATTTGGAGTTGAGCCTAATCTCTTTCCCCTATTACAACAGATGTACTGAATAAAAGTACTCGAGACTATACCTTGAATAATGTCTTTCTTACCATTTTAACAAGTATCAAATAATTTGCCTTTAACAAACTTACAATAAAGTTAATACAACAGTGTCACCATAAGCTTCTTGTTTTAAGTAAGGTGGTATAGGTAAAGCACTTATTGAGGTCTGGCACCCAGTAAGCCCTCAACAAATGTTAGTATTTAGTAACAGTGGCCATGATAATGAAGACAATAATGGTGACAGTGATCTGGAGAAGAAAACATTCAGAAAGCACTTAGGAACCATCTTAAAATAAGCAAATGATGTATCTTTGTGGCCTTACTGGAAATAACAGATCTAGACATCATGGAAAAAGGAACACTGTAATGATCAGAGATGTTTGATAATGACTAGAGGTGATGAGAATTTTATCAATTTAAGTGTCCCAGTGGAGGTCAGGGGCTACCTTTTAGAACATCTACAGGGGTGATTCCTTTATTGAATGTGAGAATAGCCTCTATCCATATTTTTTCTGAACAGACATTCATAAGTAAACTCTCATAACTAAAAGTGACTGCAATATTACAAAATTAAGATTTTAATATGTAAGACACTTTTGACATAAATAATTTGTCTCAATACCCAACTACTCAAGCCAGTAACTAGAAACCTGACCACTGAGTGCATAACTGCATACCTTTAATACCGTCCTCTCTCTCAGTAAACATTTCCAGTTAATTACCGTATCTTTGCTAATTATGCACCCAAAACTATCAAATTCAGGGTTTTTTGTCTATCCCCTTTGCCACAGATTTATTGATGCCCCCCAAAGCTCTAACCTGGAGGGGTTTGCAGTAGTTCTAGTGCAAGACTATGGAGACTTTAACTAGGGTGGGAGATTTGGAAGCAGCAAAAAGTGATTAGACTTTGCAGTTATCCTAACAGTGGCACCAACAGAACCTACTAATGGATTAGGAGTGGAATTTGAGAAAGAGAAGACTCATGGAAGCCTGTCATGGTTTTGGTTGGAGCAACTGCTGAGTGGCTGTGCCATTTCCTGAGACTGGGGTGCTGCCAGTGGAGCAAGTCAGGCAGCTGAGACTGAGTTTGATTTCAGATATGAGCATGGTGGGTCCTCAATCTATATTTTTTTACAAATTGAGAAACTGTGTTCAGTAATTAATTCCTATGCATTGTTCAAGTTTTGTGCCTTTGTATTTGCTTTTCCCTTTACCTGGAATCACCTGTCCCTTACTTGACCGACGCATGCTTGGTGAATTACAACTCAACGGGAGGCTTCCTCAATACCCCAGGCAGAACTAGACTCACCTTCCTCTATGGCCTATAGCAGCTTGGCAATGTTTATGAAACACCATGGATGAAGCATCATACTAATCACTAGGTATATAAAGAGGTGTAGGCCTATCCTGAAAGAGCTTACAGTCTACTAGGGATAAGGGAACACACCCACCAACTGTTCAGTACAGCATGGCAAGTAGTATTAACACAAAATGCTATGAAATAGCAGACGAGCAAATGGTGAGAAGTCAGGCAAAGGCTCTCATATTTATTGTGTGTATTCATCACATGTAGGGTGCTTTGTGTGACTTCCTTTAATCATGACAGAGATAGCCCCATATGCCCAGCATAGGGTTTCAGTACCTGCCCAAAATTGTCCAGCTTGCAAGTGACAGAACTGGTTTACAAATGAACCCATGACTCCTCAGCCATTTCTCTGCCAAACTAAGTTCAGAGAAGACTTCCTAGGAGGGATACACTTGAGCTGAAACTGAAGGGTAAAGGCCATTTCCAGCAGAGGACACTGTGCACATACAGACACAGAGGGCTGGGCGGGGAGAGTGTTAGAACCAGTGTCCTCCAGAGACAACAGAAGGACAGAGGGTTGGGTGGGCAAAGCCATCTCAGGAGTCTGGGTTTTATCCCGAGGGCAATGGATGATAACAAATGAAGGATTTTTGAACAGAGAAGTAATAGAATCAGATTTACACCACAGAGAGATTACTCCAATATGGTACCTAGTACAGATGTATACACCAGCATTTATTAGACTGTATAATTATTTTCTAATTTGTGTATATCTCCCTGTCTAGAGGTTGAACTTTAATTGAACCGAACTCCTTTAATTGAACTGAACTGGGATTCCTTGTACGAAACTTTCTCCTGTTTGAATAATAAGATTTATATGTTCCTCACTTTTTTTGCAAACTGAGATAGTACACCTTGATCTAAGAAACAAGGACAAACCAAAGTAAAGATAAACTCTCTGGGGTCTTTTAATGAGATGCAAAAAGAAGCCAGCTGGTCAGTAAGGTACGAGTTTGAAGGAAAACACAGCTTTCTCCACTCTGTCCCCCCGCAGATGACTCCATCCCTGCCCTCCACCTCTGAATCTCTGCCATGTTGAGGGAGAAGGTCGTCAGAGCCCAAGGACGATGAAGATGATGCTGAGGATATCATCGCTCCACACCCACATCTACAGAGGAGTTAACACCTTCCTTCATGAAGAAGCTGAACCCTTCCATAACTTTTCCTACAGGAAGACACAGTTAACAAGATTCATTAACATTAGAGGAAATCTCACATAATAGAGCTGAAAGGGACCCATAGAGCTTTTGAGACAAAATCTCATTTTGCAGGTGAGGTAATGAAGTCTCTGAAAAGGAACATCCCTGCCACAGGCAGCCTCTGACCGAGGGAAAGCAGCATTCCCTGGTCTAGTGACACCATCACCACCCCACCTGCTGCTTCCACTGATCCCAGGTCCCAGGCTCATCACCCCATGTCTTAAAACAACAAAGACAGAGGGATCCGGCCCAGGGAAGTTGGAGTGGCTGCCATTCCGCCTTTCCTGGTCAGCAGGCCCTATGCTGGAGTTGGATCCTGCTTCGGTGAGAACAGTTGTCCCTCATTGTCCCCATCCGTGTCCTTGAATATGAGCTAGTTTCCAGGCCAAGGGCCCCGTGCGCATGCACATTAGAAAAGCTTCCCTTTTATCAAGTAAATGTCCTGCATGTAGGAATAAATACAGAGACATATCCTTCTGGGCTCAGGGTCTAACTTGATATTTCAGCTTGTTAAGACCACCACAAAGATGAAGGAGACAAGATCTAAGGTGAGTGGCCTCAACATAGTGGTCTAAGAGAGTTAACCATGAGTACAGTAGACTTGCTGCAAAATAGTAAATGCTGAGTTGCCTGTTGTGCACCAAAGAAGTGATATCTTCCTACTTATTTGCCTTCAAAAATACTGCACCAGCCAAATAAAATACACAAAGTAAACATGTTCATTGGATGCAGGTCCAAACACTGACAGCTTGCATCCCCCTGTTTTAGATAAAAGAAAAAAAACCCTTTGTGATAGCCTTATCCCTCTATCCCTCTGAAGGCTACAGATGTTTGCAGCCACTGGGAAGTTGAGGAGGATGAAGGCCCTCTAGCCACAGTCTGTCTAAGAAACAAGCTATGCTAAGACCTCTTAAAAGCTGTGTAGGATAGTGGTTTTCAATTATTTTTAGTGTGGGGTTTAGGATACCTTCTTCAAGCAAGACATTGTATGAACTCCACTACTTAAAATAGTCAAAAGCTGAAGTTGGAGTTGGAGATGACCCAGAATGTTCCCCTTAACACTTTCGGTGACTTCTAACTTGCCTCTACAGAGCCACTGGGCTCTGGGACAGCTATTTGAAAACACATTGGTCCGAGTGGACTTCCTCAGTTGACAGAGAGGAAGTGGAGGTTCTGGGATAGATGGAACCAGTCCAAGCTGGCAGCCATGGGGGCCCAGTCCTAGCTTGATTGTGAGACAGTTGGTTTGCTACCTGCACAGGCTGCTTCTAGTTGGAGAGTTAAACAGGTTCATGGAGAGAGGAGAGGTTTGCAGGGGAGGACGCTGGCCCCAGCTTCTTTTTCCCCCATGAGGTACTCACAAGCTCTCAGTACACAACAGGCATTTGTTTCCATAGGTGATGTAGTTGGAACCACAGACAGGCATGTAGGTAATGGGGCAGGGGATAGCCACCACTGGGTACTTCTTGTAAATGTCGCAGTCCACCTGTGCCAAACACCAGAGAAATGTCCTGCCTTGTTCCTGGCCCCCAAGCTAGGCTAACCCAGCCTTTGTTGCACAGGCGGCAAAATATCATTTTGGAAGTTCCAGCTCAGATATTCTGATGCTGCTATTACTGCCTCTACTGGTACTAATGCCATCACTATGACAGAAACCAGTAATACTAGCACCGCTTCTATTATGACTGGTGCATTAAGTTAACAACTGCTGTGTACTTCCATGCCAGGCATTAAAATTAAATCTGACATGCATTTTCTCCATTTAATCTCCAGAATAACCAAATAGAGTAGGTTCTACTTTTATCCCTATTCACAGAGGTGAGGGAATGGGGACAGGGGGAATGGATGGCTTAGAAGATGGGAGTTGGCCCTGGCTGGGTAGCTCAGTTGGTTGGAGCATCGTCCCATACACCAAAAAGTGGTGGTTTGATTCCCAGTTGGGTCACAGACCTAGTTTGTAGGTTCAATCCCCGGTGTGTATGGAAGGCAACAGACTGATCTCTCTCTCTCTCTCTCCCTAAAAATCAATGAACATATCCTTGGGTGAAGATTTAAAAAAGGGGGGAATCTGTATAACATAACAGCTAGAAAGTGATGAGGTTGGAATCTGAATCCAGAGCCTGTAAATTAACCAAAGTCCTGCCTCTTCCATGTTGCTTTCCATGAAGACTTCACCAGCTGAAAGTCATCTCTCTCTCTCTCCTTTAACTCTGAATTTTTTAAGGCTCTAGTTATTTATATGTATGTCATATTTTTTCAAACAGCAGAGGAGATTTCTTTATCAGTGTCTCCCTCCACTTTTTACCCCCTAAACATACTGAGTTACTCCTACATATATATTTGATAATTATTGGTTGACTAAATGACAGTCAATATGGATTGAAATGAAAATAAAATTCAATATACTCACAGTCGTTAAAGGCAGACTAGCAGCTTCTGAAAGGGAGATACAAAATGTTAAAAATAAAGCAAAGTCTTGAAGTCTCATGAACTAATATAAATTTGATCCCATAAGATTAAGACTCTGTATTTCCTCTGGCAATAAGTCTCAGCACACACCCCATTCATTCTTACACAAAATTCTAGCTGTTTGCCTAGGAAGCCAAATGGCCAATGGATTAGACAAGCCCTTGGTTCAGGCAAGAGAATTACCCACACTTCCTCCCTTCATTCCCAAGGGTTGTTCTCAGAAGCTCCTTGTAACTCTGATAATGGTTCAAAGTCAGACAGCAACAGGAAGGGTGCAGTCACCACTCCCAAGAACCTGAAGCACTGTCTCTGATATTCTTCCCCTTCTAAATGAGGGTAAAGAAATGTAATAAAATGTCTTTAAGGGGTTAGAATCTTTTTTAATTTAATTTTCCAGCCATATAAAAAACCTAACTGTTGATGCCTGGCCTTTGGAGAACTGTGTTTTGTTTCACTCCTCCTGGATTGATTTGGGGTGGCATCATAGTTTTTCTGTGTTTAGTACCTGATAGTATATAGCAATGTCCAGTGTCCTTATGAAATGGAAGACTTTGGAAGAAATGAGATCATTTCTCTGTTCCCTGGATGAAAATAAAAATCCTTGATAGGAAGACCCTAAACCCAAATCCCCCTATTCCATTAGGGACCTAAGATTCTCTTTTTCCCAGGCCAGGACTGCTTCTTTCCTAAGCCAGTGTGCTTTTTATTCTAAACCAGTATACTTTAAATCCACACTACTAGACATTTCTCTACGATGCTCACCTCCCAAGAGAGGTTATTTGGAACAAGCCTAATGGCTGTAAACTATCTACCTACCCTCAACTCACCTGAGCTGCTGCAGAAGAAGGTCACCATGCAGAGCAGGAGGAGAGCCCCAATGGCCTTCATGGTGGAGGAGGCTGTGAGATAGAGGCTGCTCAGGGCTGTCACAGCAGGGAAGGGGTCATGTTTATATGGCAAAGCCTGGCTTCTCCACCTTTCCTATGAGGTCATCTAGAGTTAATGCTGGCTTTGAGAAGCTCTCCAAGCACAGTGTCACACCCTGGGTGGTGCTGCAGTCCTTGTCACTTAATTGCCAATTCCTGTCTGACCAACACATTAATTACTTGAGGTGACAAGTATTTGTCAGTCTTTTCTAGAGGTGGGAACTGTTAGAATTCTAAACCTCCTATATTAGAAGATCTTAAGTATAGGCTACCCAGCCTAGGTATGAAATAAGTGAAAATATCAGTTCTTTATTTCACAAGAAAAGAGAGTATTTAATCCAGGTTGGACAGATCATACTTATGCCTATATTTTTGCTTCTGGGAAACTGTTGTTAATTTTTGAGGAAACAAACCCATGGAGCAGGTTGGGACCTAGTAGGAGGAAGAGTGACTTTAGCATTTCTGAAGTTTGGAGGAGCATACTGACATTTTCTAGTTGTGTGATCCTGGGCAAGCTGTCTATGTGCTGTGAGCCTGTATCAACCAGAAATACCTAGTTATGTTGTGGTAACATATAACCCCAAGCTTTATACAACTTGAAACAATATATTTATTTTTTAATTGAGCTGCACAATTGTATGGTCATCAGCTGATGGTGCTGCAAGGTGTTCAGCGGGCCCTGGTGAGCAGAGGTGTCACTATCTGGAATGTCGTTTGTTCTCAAGGTTAACTGAAGATGTGTCCTTGAGGGTTTCTATGTTCAACAATTAAATATTTAGGCCCAGAAGAGACACCACTGTCACCTTCCTGTGTGGCCCTCCCCAACCACAGAGGATGTGGAGTGAGATCATACCTTGTCCCTTGACAACTGGAACTTCAGTTCCATCCCATGCGGAGTGGGAACTGTTGCTTGACACAACAGAATTCACACAATTGGTGTCATTTTCATGGGAAATTTGCTCTAAAGTGCAGTGCATGTTATTGTAATTGTGATGATGATGATGATGATGACTGATGAGCCAAGTCTCTGCTCTGGGTTCCTGAGAGTAGCCTGTAACTTAGCAATGCAGGCATGAATGTCCCAATGGCGGTTGCTTGTCTGCTGAGTTGAAGGACATGTGTATGAAGCTCTGGGTGATAGCAGCTGACTCTCCTCCACCAGTACTCTGCTCGTTAGGCAGGTTAGTGATCAGTACATTCTGAAACACGGTGTCTACAAAAGGTAATGAGCTAATTAACAAAAGACATTGCATGACTTCCTAAAATTTCTAGTCTTGCACCTGTTTGGGGATTAATATAATCTAGTAGGTGAGAATAGGGGCATGGGATCCAGTAGATTTTATTTGGGATCTTGTTTTTTAATAAATGTTGACTTTGTGACTTGGAGTATATGGGTTAAAGTCTGGATATGTTAGTTTCTCATCTCTGTGACAGAGAAATAATTTCCCTCCCAGAGTGGTTCTGATTGTTAAATGAGATTATGTACACAATTTCAAGCATGTGGCAGAATGCCTAGGCCACAGTCCCACCTTGAGGATGGCGCCTAATTATATGCAATGAGGACTTCATGACGACTTGCTAAAGAAGGAAGTTTTGAGTCTAATGTTACCAGTGAGTAAATTGAGGCTCAGAGGATTTAAGTAACCTCACCCAAGATCACAATACGAATTAATGGAGAAGACTGTGTTGAGGTCAGTCATGGAAAAGAGGGAAGCAAATGTCCTAATAAGGGGATTTAATTATCCACTTTCTTGTTGTAATGAATGTGGGGAGAGATTGAATACTGAGAAAAAGCCACTATGTTTCAAGAACTGGAGTCTTTGTTGCAGATTGAAAATGCCATTTTAACATAGCAGGTGGGAATGGGATCAAAGGATGATCAGGGTGAAGTGGAAATACACGATTATAATACTTTTTAGATGTTTTATAGTAAAAGGGAGGAGGGAATGGAAGAAGCTAAACCTTCAGCAAGGTCTGTCTAGGAGAGACCACAGTGAATGTCCTAAAGCCAAAGGGAAGAAGAAAGTTCAGACACGTGGTGGAGAATGGGAAGGGAGAGGAGTATAGAAAAGGAGGAAGTGACATTAAAAGCATGATTTGAACCACTGTTGCCTCTGATATGAGGGAAAGAGAAGACTAGATGAAAGTAAAGACAGAGATATTTTGAAAGGCAGAGAGAGAAAGAAGTAGGGGAGCCCCCTCTAAGGTTGGCTCTAGCTGTTAAGCTGGATTGACTCTGGCAGTGGAAGAACTGGGTTGGTCTGCAAGCTGGAGTAGGATGGAGAAGGCTTGGCACAGACATCGATGGGAGCACGCCAGAGAGTTGACAGGAATATAAAAATGGCCACTAGACAAAATTAGCAGTAGACGTTAGCAGGCCCAGTAAGTACCATGCTGAATATTTCTCCCAAAATACTCTATGTTAGGACACTGTGTAAGAAATGGGAAAAAAGGGATTTTATGGATAAGGACTGTGTACATCAGAGACTTGGGGTGGGGCCATAAAGATTGTGATAGGCTTGGGAGAAGCCAAGTGTTCAGGAAGGTTCTTGGTGGATCATGCAAGTTGTGAGAAGTTGAGGGCTCAGAGGTCGAGATTTAGGCTATGTGTGAACTTAATGGGTGTGGGGAATATGAACAATTGTGTACGGAGGCTTGGCTCATAGGCTAAGTTTCAGGAGAATTTCTCAAGCTGAGACTGAGATAACGATCCTTAGGGTGTATCCAAAGATAAAGTAGATGAAGAATGGGTGGAGGTAAACGGCTTTGGATTTAAAGAGGTGAGGAAAAGTGAGGGCAAGTGATCAGGTGTGGATTGCTTTGGGGTTTGGCAGCCCTTCATATGAAGAGAAAATTTTCAAGCTGCATAATGAGCCACAGATTGTGGAGGGTCCTTTGGGAATGAAGATGAAACCTGTGGAGACTTTTTAACAAGCTTTTTTTTTTTTTGGCCAAGGGCAGTTTCTTTATTCTTCCTTATATTCCTGCAAGGGGCCAAATCTTAGGCCTTGTCAGGGGGGATCACTATGACAATGGTTTCACTCCAGGGATGGCAGGATAGGATTGAAAACATGAAAACATAAACATGGAGGCAGAAAAGGCTTGAGAGTGCCGAATCCCTCATTTCTTCCCCCATGGATCTGAGGTGCCATGGGGAAGAGGAAGGTGGCCCACTAGAAGGTTAGAGAAGGGTGAGAGAATGAAATTGGAGCAGGGCAAAATGAAGAGTTCCTGGGTCAGTTAGCAAGAGGGAAGTGGGGAAGCTGGGACCACAGCTGGGCAGTAATGTGAGTACAGAATAATGGCTGCAGAAAGTGAAAGTTATAATAAAAAAAATCAACCATACATTAAGCACTTACTATGTGCTAGAGCTGCGCTACACCTGCTGTGTGCACTGTTGCACTCAAGGCTTACAATAATCTTATGGGATGGATGTGGTTGTTTGCCCTGTTACATAGCTATGGCAGCACAGATTTAGAGAAGTGGCTGAAATTAAGAGCCAATGCTTTTAATTACTCTGATATATTGCCTTTGCACTTAAATTTAAACCCTAGATTTGGAGACAGGTTGAAAACTGAAATTATAGGAGTTACACTGGCAGAATCAGAGGTTAGCAGCTGTCTTGAATGAGGCAGAGGGAGTTGAGCACTGGGTCCAAGTGCCCGGCACTGCCCTGTGTGAGCAACATCCGGAAAAAAGGAGGGTCCCAATGGGGACAGGGCATGATTGAGAGCCTGGAGACAAGGCTTCTTTCTCTGTCCTTGTACCCTCATCTGTTGCAGGGACAACATGTGACATTCCTTCCTCCATGCTGTGTTTCCCGCTCCCCCAGCATCTAGTGAGATCAGCCTAGGATTAGAGCTTCAGGTTTCCCAGTTCACAATCCCTTCTTGGACACTAGCATGTGCAAATGATGAATAAGGCCGAGGACTTTGGGTGAGTGACAAGAAGTTGCAACACTTCTTCGAGATTCTGTTTTTCCCTTTGAATAGCTGCATCAGCGCATCCCCCACCCCAGCTCCTTCCTTCTCAGCATCCAGCACCCCCCCCCCCCATCAACACCTGGGGGCCTTCTTCTGACAGTTTTAAAATCGGCGGCCTGGTTTTGGCTGGACTATCTCTAGTTTTTGGTCTGTCCTCTTCTCCCTCCCTTGTGTGGTACTTTCATGCTCTAGCTTCTTTTTTTCCTTTTTTAAGGTAGCCCCCACTGTGATCACACCTCTGTGTGCACTAAGGCACAGTGACATTTGCATTTTGATCTTGTGTCTAATAGGACCTCATCTCCTGCCTCTCTTGGGAATGGGAAGTTAGCACACGCAGGCATACTATGTTTTGGTTCTCTTCAGTTTTTGAATGACAAGCTAAATAGTTGCAATCATTGAACTGCTGAGTGAACATTAATGACTAGTTCTTCCTATTGGTTCATGTTGCTCCTTGATGACTTCACACAACCTGGATCTAGACTATACACACACATATACACACACACCTCCCAGCTCCTACTTGTGAAATCTTGTCTATTGTGCTTAGTGATGAAGGAAAACACCTGTAACCCCAGAGTGGGCAAACATTAGCACACATATTGGTCTGTTAAGCCTACCATAACAAAATACCAAAGAATGGGTGATGTAAACAACAGATACTAATTTTCTCACAGTACTGGAGGCTGGAAGCTTAAGGTTAAGATGTTGGCTGGGCTGGTTTCTCTTGAGGCCTCTCTCCTTGGCTTGTGCACAACCATCTTCTCACTGGGTCCTCACAAGGCCTTTGCTTTCTGTGCCTGACCCCTGGTGTCTCCTCCTTTTCTAACAAGGATTAAACTCCTATTAGACTAGGTCCCTGCTTTTATGACTTCATCTAACCTGAATAACCTCTGTGAAAGCACTATCTCTAAATGTAGTTACACTAGGAGTTAGGTTTTCAACACATTGAGGGAGACGCGATTCAATCTAGAACATTCTGACATCTGCAGCTCCACCTCCAAATTCATGTTCTTTTTACATGCAGATCTTCAATCTGCATGTAAAACTTACATATTTTACAGGACACTTAATATCTAAAGGGATGCTAGTGTTTTCTTGACATTAATAAAGAATTTACTCTGATTTCCCATAATTTCATAACAGCTAACATATAGACACATACCAAGGTAGATTACTGCTGTTTTGTCAGCTTGAACTGCTTTCCCATATGGAAAAGAACTTTTTTCCATATTGAAAAGAACTCCATTTCTATATGCATTCTAGTAGTTCTCTACAATCAAGCCCAATAAAATGAGTCTGCTCTCTTTCTAAGTAGACCTCTTCAGATATGCAAAGGCAGCTCTAGAGTGCCTAGAAAGGTCTCTTTATTCCCCTCCAAACTATATGGCTCAGCTTCCTTAATATTTCCTTTACAGTATATAATCCTGTAAGTCTTCCCTGCACCGACATATTAACACAGCATTACTTAACCACACAACAAGGTGAAATACTGGCATTTGTGACAACATGGATGGATCTTGAGAGTATCATGTTAAGCAAAATAAGTCAGACAGAAAAAGTAAAAGAGAATCCGATTTCATGCATATATGGGATCTAAAACCGAAAACGATAAAAGAATGCACAAGACAAACAAAAACTCATAGACACAGAGGGAAAGGGGCAGGTGGAAAAGAGTAAAGGGGGTAGAATATATGGTGATGAAAGGAAGCCTGACCCTGGGTGGTGAGTACACAACACAGTGTACAGATGATAGATTAGGTTGTATACTTGGAAGTTACATAATTTATTAACCAAAACCACTGCCGCGGTCCGGCCGCAGCAGGTCAAGGGGTCCCACAGGTGAGGGTAGGCATCGGCGCTGGGTAACAGACGACAACACGCCTCAAAGGACAGTGAAGCTCTGTTCCGTTTATTGCAAGTACAAGCAGGTTTTTATATTTTCATTTTAGGTAGTGATTAACATTTGCAGTATAACATGATCATTTAAGCAGAAAAAAATCAATACAAAGGTAATCAGTAAAAGTACAAAAGTTCCCATAGATTTAGTTAAAGATTATTTTAACTGGGAGAGCTATTAATCAGACAATTAGAAGTACCCTATTGTATGTTAAAGTTTCTCAGAATTTGTCATAGGGCAAAAGGATACGCTAGATTGAGTAGAGAAAATAGGAAATTTATTATAAGGCCCTTGTGATGTCTATCTTAGCTATCTACCCTTTTTTTGCCTAAAATGTTTTTCTGTGTACCATAAATTCTGACTCCCTAGTGACTGTTTAGTTTGTAATAACTAACTAGCTTTTGTTATTTCTTTGCCTGTCTAATTGATATATATTCTTATTCAAGGTAAAGGAGGGGCTATTCCTATGTTGCAGGGGGCTTTCAAGGGTACTTCTTTTAAGTTTCTCTAGGAGTTCTTTTATAGACATGTTTTGTACTTTGATTCCCTCTAAGAAAGCAGTGAGATCATCTCCTGATTTCCTAGAGTATTCTATCTTATCTTGGGTGTTTTTCCAATGATCTGTTATTGATTAAGCTTGAATTCTCAGATTGTTCTGGTTGTTTCTTTGTACCTATATTCCCTGACATTTCTAGTATGAAATCATTATTCTGTTCATTGAGCCGGGAAAGGTCTAGGCACACTATCTGAATCACTGCAAGGGTATTCATAATGATTAAAGCAGAAAAGGTCATGATCCCCAAAGCAAGCACAATCACAATAGGTATTGCAGGGCCTTCCATGCCACGTCCACCAAGTTGGAAACTGCTTCCTTGAAGTCTTACACCCCCTCTCAGGACCTTGTCACGGAGAGAGGGATCCAACAGTGGACGTGGCAGTGGACGTGGCAAACCACTCCAGTACATTTAATACAATTTAAAAAGAAAAAGAATGTAGTTTTCAAATGTAGATGTGCATTAGGACCACCTGGAGAATTAACACAGCACACAGAAGCCCAGGGCCATTAAAATAGGGTAAGCCTGGGTCTCCAAACAAAGGCTTGTGCAGAGCCAGGAAGGAGGAAGCTGTGAGAGGAGGGTGTGCTCTGCTGCCTGCCAAGATAGGCTGTGTTTAGCTGGCAAGGTGATGGCAGAGTTTCACATCTCCCTCTATCTCCCTCTGAGTTACTAGTTCAATACCTAGTCAGACGGGAAGAGTGAGGCTGACACCTAGTGTCAATAATAAGTAATGACACAGAGCACACAGAAGCCAAAGTATTTTTTTACTGTTCATCTCCCCAGCCCTGGACATAAAAATGACTCCCTCATCCTGTGTTAGTTAAGATTTTTCAGTTTAGGTAATAAATTATGAGCAAGATTAAGCAAAAAAAATTATTGATCTGCGTAATAGTGGTGATGGGATGGAATAAAAATTGGGTATCCTGGAATTAGGTGGTTAAATGACATCAATACTCTTTAGCTCTCTCCAAAATATGTCTGCCCCCAAAACACTTGGCTATTCTTCTCCCTCTTATTGGCATGTGAGAAAATTTTCTCTCCTAGTGAAGGTGGGCTTCCCGCATGAATGCCAGGTAGCAAGCCTCCAACAGCTGTGGGTACATGTGTGCAGGATATTTTCTTTTGCTCAGGTCTTTACAGGGGCTAACTTTGCAGATAGGTAGGTCTGTGATCTGCAGTTAATTTAATTCAGGAGAGTGGGAGGTGAGCCTACTTGATAAAAGAACTTAGACCAGAGCCAAAGGAAAGCTGTCACTAAACAGGGATGAATGCTGACCACCTTTTATTATGTTTATTTGTAATAAATGCAATATTTGGTTCTCCATTAGTATGATTTGTCTTCCAATTGTTACACATTTGGGTTCCAAAGAAAATGAACAAAAACCAAATCTGAGTGCGGCATAGGTTAGTGTTTATTATACAGTCTCAAAAGAGTGTATACATTCCAAACAAAAATGATTTGCAGAATTCAGTCATGGAAAGAATAAGCAAATGTAATACTCTGTTACTTATCAGAACATTTCCCATATTTATCAAATTTAATATGTGAACCGTATTCCCTAAAGAGAAGAGAAAAGAAGAAGGTTACTATCACAGGGAAAGTTTAGTCTCGCGGTTTCACATTCTCATATCTTTCGAAGATAAGGTGCTGCTTTACAGTTCCCTTTGCACCCACCTCTTCTCCAGCCCCCTTTATCACCACCACAGTGTGCCTGGGCCTCCTCTATGTCCTGACTATCCAAACAGCGTTCTGTGGAGTTTTTCAACAGAGAATATCCCATCCCTGAACGCATTTCTACCGTGATATCCTTGCATTCAGCATAGTAATGCCAGATCTTTCTACCAAGAAGTAAAAAATAACCAAAGCAATAATGCAATACATAATAATTCACATATGTCATACTCTCTGCTCAAATTTTTGCAGACTACAGTCTGTTCTCCTCACTCTAATATTTATGTTTTCCAGAAGTTAGCCTCTGCCTAAGTTTCCATCCTTATGCATTACTGTTCTCTGAATACATAACATTCCTTTCAACACAATTTTTCTTTATTTCCCTAAGGCATCACACTTTTTATCAATTCCAAGTGTTTTCTCAAGCAGTGGGCTCTGTGTAAATTGCCTATTCTATTTTCTTTTGCATTTTTTTTCTTTAAGAAGCCTTTAACCTCGTCCTCCTTTCAGAGACTCCCCATCCTGACCCCTATGTCAAGCTCACCTTTAATATCCCTCTACTCACTTGGGTCAGGGGTTATAAATGCAATTGGTCGTAGAAGCCAAGCTAGTGATATAAATAAGCGAAGTGGGCCCCCTTTACCATAATGGAGGAAGGTGGGTTTATGGCTGCCTGGAATGCTTCAAGACCGTTTGGATGGGCAGCTACTATGAAGCGACTGTTGCTTATTCTAACATACAAACTCCTAGCTTACTATGAGCGTAACGTTTGATTTTTCAAAATGAGATGGAAATCTGTATTTTTGGGTAAGGTCTGATTTTTGAAATACTTTCAACCAATTCAAAACTTCCTAAAGTGCTGTTTTGGCTGAATACAGCCACTGCTATTCTCTCTTATAGATTTTCCTGTGCATATATTCTTTTTGCCAAATGAGACTGCAGACATCTGAACGGTCTGGTGTCTGTTTCAAAGACTCTCCATTTTGTTGCTATTATCAGGGCCCTACACTCAATTGGTTTGGGGGCCTGTGAGGATGGCAACAATGATTCTGTATCAATTCTGGCTAAGGCTTGCACTCTTCAGTTGTCTTTTCCCAAAGGATTTACACTATTCATAAATGCTGGGTACCTGTCAGGATTGTGAGTCCAATTTGCTGGAATTTTTATTGAAAACACTGCTAAGATAGGGACATAGGAATTACTCCCCTCCTTCTATCACCCTTTTATCTTCCTCTGCCAGCAATGGTAGAAACTTCATTCATTCACAATGTCCAGTTCTCAGGCTTTTCCTTGAGAGGACATTTCAATCATCCTCTGAGGCTAGTCCTTGCTCTGAAGATGAGCAGTTTTCTTTCTGGGACTAGCTTCTGAGCCTGTTTCCTTCAGTGCTCAGCTGCTGTCCTCATGGGGTGGTCACATGACACTGGGAGCCCATGTGGATTCTTCCCAAAGGAAGATGTGCATGAAAGAGTCAGTTAATTCAGCAGGCTGGGGATGCTCAACTTTGTTCCAGGAATACCATGCCTGATAAGAATATGTTTGTAGTCCAGTTTGTATGCCAGGCCAGGCGTAGTACAGCTGAATGCCTGTCATCCTGAGCCACTCTGTATCAGTTTGACCCCCTTTTCGAGGGGGGTCAGTCACAGAGGCACTGCATGCCTTGGTGACTGGCCCCCCACACATGGCTTGGGCACTAAAGCTTTGGTGAGCTTCCCAGGCTGTCAATGCCTCCTCTCTACGGCCACATGTCATTGCTGAGCGATGTAGCCCTGCCTGTGTGGGTCCACTGGGAGAAGACAACTGGAAGCTTGTGCCTGGCCTCCCCGGACTCCACCCCATGAGCCTCCTGCCCTTGCTGCCTTTCATCTCTGACCTTTCATCACAGTAAGCCATTGTCACATACAGAGCAGCTTTTCTGAGCTCTGTGAGTCCTTCCAGCAAATTATGGAACCGGAGGGGGTTCTTGGTCACAGGAGAGTTACTGACAAGAAACAAGGCTGACTTATAAAAACAATTTCAAACGGAGTTAAAATAAATCACAAGGAGTATTAATTTTTTAATCTAAATTTACTATTGAATTTACTTGAAAGTCAACTGTCAATTTTTACCACATACCTACTTTGTTACTCATATGTATATTTATACCTACACCTAGCCTACATTTGCGTTTGTATCTACCAAACAATTACAGGTGTTATTCACAGGTATGTCAGTGTGAGTTCTACAGATAATTTGAGTGACCTCTAAAGCCTGGATTTCCAGTCATTGCTTGAATATAGACTATCTACTAAATATTTCTACACAATTTGATTAAAAATTTGTGTAAAATTTTTTCTTTTAATAAGTCAACTTTGACCTTGCACTGCATTTAAAAAAGGAAATCACCATATATGTAGTCCATCTGCAATATTTTATGAATAATAGAGGCCATTCTTTTTTAAAAAAATGCATGTGTTAGTAAATCCAGTTCCTTTGCTCAGATTATTTGAAATTTCTGTGATCAAAAAATAAAGAGAAAGAAATAAATGCCGCTTTAACTGGGACTTACCACTGAGCAACGCAGAAGTGACACTCGTTCTGGTAAGTGTGGCCACGTGTGCTGCACACGTATGCAGTGACGTTGGGGCAGAACAAGTCGTTCAGAAGGTCTGGTGGCTGGTACATTTCACACGGGGGCTGCAAATGGTATAAAACATTCTGTAAATGACAACTGATAGATCCCTGCCCCCCAATTTTTCCTAACCTGCCACTTCAGCCCCACACAGAAATAACATTAAAAATTACTAGTCAGTTGATCTTTTTCAAGGATTTTCTCTGCTCTGGGCTTTAGTCAGGAAAGTTTTTTTCTGACTGAAGTGTCTTCAAACATCCCATCATTTCTTCAAGTTATGAACATTCTGATATCTCAGCTAAAACCCTAAATGCAAAGTTTTCATCTCAGTGGGGAGCCCCAATGCTAGATACTCATCACAGGGAGGGTGTGAACTTGGAGAGGACAGGGGCTCACAGGTGGCTGTTAAGGGGGAGGGTCTGTCAGAAACACACGCAGATACGGAGGACAGACTGACAGTGGCCAGGGCGAAGGGGGCTTGTGGGGCTGGTGAGAAAGGCGAAGGTATGTGGATGTACAACCTGGCAGTTACAAAACAGTCATGGGATGTAAAGTGCAGCTCAGGAAATAGAGTCGATTATATTGTAATAACTACATGTACGGTGCCAGGTGGGTCCTGGAAATACCAGGGGGATCATGTTGTAAATTACATTGCTGTCTAACCACTAGGCTGACCACCTGAAACTAATATAAAATAATACTGAATGTCAACTGCAAGTGACAAATAAAATTTTTTAAAAAGAGTGAGGGCTTGTATTGAGAATGGGAATAAATCCTGTTTGTAGTACTGTTTAACCTTGTGACCCTGAGCAAGTGACAGGCATTATTTCACTTAATGCTCAGAGGTACATTTTCCTCTTGTCATGCTTATGTCATCCGACAGTACATCTAAGTCTGGAGAGGTTGAGGTACATGTCCAAGGTCACACAGAAACCTTCCCATTTTACTTTCCCACTGTGAAGTTTTGGGTCTCTCGTGTCTAGAGAGTGATCAGGTTAGAATCAGAATTCAGAACTGAGAAATGTGAATTTACCTTAGGCCATCTAGAGTAGTCACGTTTGAAGAATCCTGCAAATAAAGACGTAACAGGTTAAAAAATCGTTTTCCATGGAATGTGATTTCACCCAGTGAAGTTACTAACTGAATAAGGAAACATAATTTAATTATACCTTTGCACAAAGCGATACAACAGAATTGGTGGGTGGTAACTACTTTATCTATCTATTTATTTTTTTCTTTCACTTTCGTAGTCCTGACTTCATTTGTAACTTTGCTGTGACATTGAGAAAAGAGTAAAAACTCTTTAGGTTTAGATTTGTGCTGGCATAACCTGCCATCCACATCATTTTTTATTAAGTGACTCCGTTTGGGTTGTTTTCAGTGTCCCATTCCCTGCAACGGGGATAAGCACACGCATTTGAAAGACTGTCATAAGAATTAAATATGACACAGTAAATAGGCCTAATACCCTATCAGGCCAAATACCCAGCCAAGAGGCTGGACTCAAGATGACAGTGAATGATGAGAAAACTCAGGAGTTCCTTGGCTCTAGGGAGGCTGAGGGGCACGGTGCACTGGTGTGGGTGAGGGGTGCCAGTGTGGCCTGGGGAGAGAGGGTGACCAAGCTGTGGCAGAAGGAAAGCTGACCTATTGCAGTTCTGCTCTTCCCGATCTCTCCCCGTCAGATGATACTTAAAATATCCAAGACTAAGTATTATGTTAAGTGAAATAAGGCAAGCAGGGGAGGACAAGAACCATGGTTTCACTCCCACGTGGGCCATTAAACAAAAAGCAACAAACAAAAACAGACTCAACAGGCATTTACCTATATAGCATGCTATCTTTTCTGTTAGAAAGGAGGAGAAAAGTGTTTTTGAAAACTCAAAATGACTGGGCAGATTTAGAATGAATTCCCAGATTACTATACATATTAAGATAACTCTAAAGCACAGTTCAATTCCTTGTTTTCTGTGAAACTCACTAAATGTTTTGCTTTCTATTTGTTTGAATAATGTAACCAAAATAAAATCTGTGAAAAAAAAAGAAAGGAGGAGAAATAACAAGATATATGTATATATATTTGAGCAAAAAGAAATGCAGAAAGAAAACAAAGACTAATGACATTGGGTACATACAGGATGGTAGGATCCAAGCAAAAGGGCATGGAGGCATCGATGTTCATTTCCATCTAAACTTCTGTTTTTCATCTTCCTTATGTTCAAAATAATTTCGAATTGCCCTTTTGATTTTTCTTTACCTGTGCCTTAGATAGAAATGGGTTGCTTTGTTTTCAGATTGTGCTATTTCTAACAGTAATGCCCACTTTATAGCAATTTGCACAGTCAAGTACATGGTCTAGGTTTCAGCCAGACTTCTTCCGTCCAGGACAGGTATTCCTTTTCTTCCCTACAACTAAAAGAAAAGCTGGGGCTTCTCTCCAAAGACCTGTACATTTGCTTACCTGAAAACACAGTGTGTTCCCCAGTGATGGATACCAGGAGAAACATGGTCACGCGAGGAAAGGCAGCCATTCAATCTCACCTAATGTCCTGTTTGGAGAGGCCTGGGCAAATGCTCAAGAGAGTTAATTCCTAATCCCTTGGCAAGGCGGCTTTCCAGCCCCTCCTACCGGAGGTGACGCCATTTCCATACACTGGGCCATGACTATCTCACCCTGGCCTGGTCTCCAGGGATTCAGACCCCAGAATGCCCTTCTGTTCTAAAGAGGGGAAGAAAATTAAAAGAAGTCTTTCTTTTCTTTTCCTTTATTTTCTTTTCCTGCCAGTAGCTAGTTTACAGTCATCATCCTGGCTTGGAAGAGGAATTAGGCTCAGGGTTCTCACCTCAGGCATGTTACCTATAAATAGGTTCACCCTGTTACTGGACATGAACCAGCCGGAGCGGGTCTGCCTCAGGCCAGCTTGCAGTGTGTGGGTTCTTGACTTCCCACAGGAAAGATTTCACAACATGAGTCCAGGTGATTTTGACAGTATTCTTATTAAGGCTGGGGACTGGGGACAGTAAAACACAGGAAAGACTTAGGGTAGAAGAAGCAACAGGAGTGAGTCAAGGCGGGGCAGCTGTCAGCTCACTGGGAAGTGAAGGTCACAGAGACAGAAGTGAGCCAAGGAAGGGCCATTGTTAGATCACTGTGAAGTCAGAGAGAAAGGAAGGTCTGAAGACAGGATTAGAGGGTAAGCCTGGGTTGAGCTGCCACTGAGCACTGCTCCCTGGGCTGCCAGTCTCCTGGGGACCCTTAGAGTTCAGGAGAAAAAAAAACGTAGATACTTGAGAATGGGCATGGGCACAGGCCCGGCACTGAGTCTTTGTCCTGAGGGTTTTTTATCTTTTTTCTCCAGGTGAGAGAGAACCTTTGGGGAGAGCTTCAGCAGAATATTCATCAACTTTCCAGATGCATTTTTAATATGCTGATGTGTCAAAATGAACATATGAGGCGGTGGGAATATTCTTTGGTCTGCTATACTGTTTTACTTTTCTTGGGTCTGATTGTCTTTTAATGGGGTTTTTGTTATTTGTTCCCCTGACTTCATCTGTCCTTGGGTTTAGCTAGCATGAGTGGCAGTAATTGGGTCTCTGTTCTCTATTTCCCAGACCAGGGAGATTTAAGCTATGTATTCTCTGGTCAGGGAAAAGTGCTATAAACCATTCACTCGAGTGTCCTTGGCTAGAGAGATAAATGTTCTTGTGATTCACCAGCTGGCTGTAAGTTGCTTAAAATGTTTGGTTTCATTTAATTTTCTTGTCTCAAATTCCCCATTCCTCCTGCTTAGGAATTTTCATAGCTCCTTACCATCCTGCCTCAACCCTACAACAACAGACCATCTCAACTGGCACACCATGTATGTTAGTGCATATGGATGCGAAGCATTTACAAGAATTCTCAGATCTCAGGTGTGATTGCAGGTCTATCCTGCATAATCAGGAAGATGTCACCTAAGTCATTTGATTTCCTTGGATGGACCAGTTCCTCCCACCCTGAAGTCCCTTTTTCCCCATTGAAGTTTCTGTTTCTGGGATGGCTTCATGTGGAAGGAATTGGTCCTTCCAGTTTCAAACACAAAGAATGGATTGAAAATGGAATTGTTGGTCCTGGGTCATAAAAATTACGTAGCCCTTCCCTGAAGCAAAAATCAGGATATATATCTATAGCTAAATATAATGTTTATAATTTTTATGATTCATACATAGGTACACAATGGTTTTTATGACCCATATATAGGTACTCTTTGATAGATATATACATATGTATGTATGTATGTATGTATGTATGTATACACATGTGAGTTCCAATTCTGGCTCCAACATCTCTTAGAAATGTGAGTCTAAAAAATATGAACTTCATAGGATATTGAGAGAATCAGGTGATATTAATATAAGTAAAGAGGGTAACTATTATCAATTGTAAATTTCTTTAGTCAAACTCTCCTTTTGTAACAATGGAAATATTGAGGCCCAGGCAAGAAGACACTTTCCAAGTCATGTCATCAACATCCTCACACCCTACTCCATACATTCTGTCTTTTCCCCAAAGCACAGCTGGTTGGCACACAAAGAAATGAGGAAGAACAACATTAGCTGCCAAGTCTGCCCTAGAAGGGAAATATTCTCACCCTGGCCTGGTCTCCAGGGATTCAGACCCCAGAATGCCCTTCTGTTCTAAAGAGGGGAAGAAAATTAAAACAACTCTTTCTTTTTTTTCCTTTTTTGGCCAGTAGCTAGTTTACAGTCATTATCCTGGCTTGGAAGAGGAATTAGGCTCAGTATAAGCCTAATTTCAAGCTCAGTATAACCTTTTCAGGTTGTCTTTGGGGAAAAGACAGCTGGTTGGGAAACAGTATAGCAGACCAAAGAATATTCCCAAAGGGGCAAAGAGGGTGGACCAGGAAAAGGAACATACAGGGAAACCTACTGACAGAGAAGAAAGCCAAAGAGATCCCAGGGCATACTGGGCCTAAGGATAGAGGTGAAGGTATGTTACCTGAATAAGGTTGCTGCAAAGTGTCTGCCTGCTGTCATCCCTCTGAGGTCACAGTTAGCTTTAAGCAGAGTAGCTATGGCTGGAGACATCTAATGGCTGTTTTATATGTCCCTCTTCTGAACCACCTCCTCTGATGTTTTATGCTCCAGCAGGCAGGGACATCCCTGGAGGTTCTGTACTTGTGGTTTCTCGTTGTGGATCATAAGAACCAAAGGACTTGCATCCTAAATATCTGATGACATTTGCAAATCAGATTGATTACCAACCACATTTCAGAGAATGTGGTGAACTTTTCTGCTGAATTCAATACTGGTTCCAATCTTCATCATCTGCTCTCCCTCCTAAGGTCACTGAGTCCATCCTACTTTTCAGGTTTATCTGTTTTATTTTTCTAGGGCATGATTTCTGACTCAGCCTGGAAAACCACCACCACAACCAATAATCTTCACAATACTTAAAGCTCCTTATTCAGGTGCAATTGCAAAAGAGTACAGTAACAATGGCAAACAGTTCATCCATTGCTTATAACATTACATAATACATCACATCAATACATACTATGTGACATGATAATCCTACTTCTAGTAACTCACCCTAGAGAAATACAACCTTATGTTTACACAAAACTTGTACACAAATGTAGAGCTGCATTATTTGTAATCACAAAAGTTAGAAACAACCTAGTTGTCCTTCAATAGGTGAATGGACAATTCAAACTGCTGTATATCCATATAATTCAATGACATTCAGAAGTAAAAAGAAATGAACTTCTAATACACTAAAAAACATGAAGGAGTCTTTATGTAAATAAAAGTAGCCAGGCTTAAATGAATAAATACTAAATGTACCCATTTATATGAAATTCTGGAAATAGCACTGTTTCAGAGATCTGTAGTTGTTAGAGGTTAGGGATGGAGGCTGGAATTGACTACAAAAGCACAGCACATAATTTTTTTTGTAGTGATGGGACTGTTTTTTAACTTCTGTTGGTGAATTTGTCAAAATTCATAGAACTCTATACTAAAAAGGAAACAAAGTGAATTGTTACTATACGTAAAATCTAATAAGTTTAGTTTTAAAATTCTGGTTCATAATGTTGGCCCTATCTTGCTAAGTGATCTTGGACAGGATATATCACCTCTGAAATCTAGTTTTCTTGGATGAAATATGAAGGTATTGGTCTAAGTTTTTTTCCAAGCTTAGCTGCCTATGATTGGTATTTCCCCACACAAATGCCTGACTATTTTCTAAGTTCAGTGTGCATTCTACAAAAGGAAGTCATTCAGCATTTAGTCTGTGGTGCTCATTTCCTCAGCAAGGACTCCGATGAGCCCAATGGAGCATCGCTGTCATCATCAACTTGGAGCTATCAACACTGCCTGACTTCACCAGATGACTTAGTATTTCCATACTGAGACCAAAGAAAACTAAGAATGATACAATTGCAGATTTTTATTTCTGCCCTATAGCAAAGTTTCCACAGAGAAACACAACACTTAGGGGAAGAATATATAGTGAGGTTTTCACCCTCAGGGAAGAATATAGAATCAATGGATGTGCAGCAACACTGAATAAACATTAACTCTATCACTCAGAGCTCAGCTTCACACCTTATCATTTGCACTGTGGATAAAACAGGATATGTCTGTCATTGTGATGTAATTTCTTGCAATACTGTTATTTTTTAATTATGCAGATTTATGGAATAGAATTGCAATAGGGAATAAGATCTCTTCCTCCAGAAAACCACAACCTATTAGTCAAAAAGGAATGTTTCTAGGTTTCTGACAGATATAGAGGGCTAAGAGAAAGGGGCAAATCCTTTGGCACATTAGGATCATAGTAATTCCAGCTCTAAGTATCTATCCTAATATGAACCACATGGAAAAGTATTCCCTGTAGCATTACTTGTAATAGTAAAAATTATAACTAAATGTCTGCCATGAAGGGATTGGCTAAATAAAGTGTGATATAATTATGTAAAATAATACTAAAAGCAAGTAAATTAAAACTTCAAACATCAAAATTAAAGCTTTAAACATCAAAATTGATAACCCCCTAAACAACTGAGAGACACCCACTGAGAGACAAAAATTATATCATAGAATGTAATTTATTTTTTAGAAAGATACACAGTAGTTCTGTATATCATCAATAGATATATACAGGGTGGGACAAAAGTAGGTTTACATTTGTGAGTACATGAAACACAGTATTCTTGTATTATTTATTATTGTATTATTTTCCATACAAACAACTACAAATCTACTTCTTCCCCATTCTGAATATATATATATATATAATATATTAGAATATATATATATATATATATATATTAGAATTGTTTTCAAGGGTACATACTCGATTAGCAACACAGTTTGACTTTCAAGAGAAGAGGTAACAATGATTGAAGTAAACATACTAATCAGGGGGAAATTATAGAATAGGCTGTACTAACAAACTCATAGAAGATTCACAAATTAAAAGTTTTTAAATAAGAATTTTAGGGACATTGGCAGTTGCAGCTCCTGCTTAAATAAGAAATGGCCC